GCTGCGCTGCAGGAGAAGCTAAGCGTCCAGGAAAAGCTGAGTGAGGCACGCCATACGGAGTCCTTGGAAGAGGAGAAGCGTTTGCGTGAGAACATCATCTACCTGCAGAAGGAAATCGCGACGCTTCAAGCGGAGCTGGTGGCCAAAGATGAGAGCCTGGAGAAGTTCTCGCTGTCGCAGTGCGGCATCGAGAATCTGCGCCGCGAACTGGCGCTGCTCAAGGAGGAGAACGAGAAACAGGCGCAGCAAGTCAAGGCCGACTTTGAGCAGCAGCTGGCGGAGAAGGCGGAGCAACTGCAGCAGGTCAGCGAAAAGTTGCACAAACTGAAATCCAACTCCGATACGCTGGAGAGCCAACGATCCACAGTCAACGACGAGTGCGATCTTCTGCAGACTGAGATTCGCTTGCGGGACGAGCAGATCCGAGAGCTAAGCCAGCAGCTGGACGAGCTGACGACGCAGCTGAACGTGCAGCTGGCGGACAGCTCCGCGCTGGACGAGATGCTCAGCCGCAACAGCAACGACAGCAAGGCGCAGCTGGACGAGCTGAAAGCGGAGCAGCAGCAGCTGAGGGAAGCGAACGAATCAATGGACCAGGAGAAGCGCGAACTGGAACAGCAGCTGAGCAGCTTTAGGGAACAACTCCAAGCCAGCGGTGATAGTAAGACGCACCTGCAGCAGCAGCTGGCGGAGAATGTGCAGCTAAAGGAGGCGAAGGAAGTGGCGGAGCAGAAGCTGCGCGGGCTGCAGAAGGAGCTGGAGCTGCTGCAGCAATCGACACAGTCGCAGCTGGAGGCTAGTCAGGCGCAGACAGTCGACACAGAACTGAAGCTGACCAAGTCGCTGGAGCAGCTGCAGCAGCAGCTGGAGCAGAAAACAAAAGTCCACGTTGAGCTAGTTAGCAGCCAGGAGCAGCTGCAGCAAAACCAGGTCAAGGAACGCGCCGAACAGGCCGCACAGCTAAGCCAGGCGAAGGCACGAACAGCGGAACTGGAAGCCACACTCAAGGCCACGCAAACCCAGCTGGAGCAACTGCAGCAACAGGCCACATCGAGCGACAAGGCGGGCACAGAGCAGCTGGCCAAGCTGCAGGCGGAACTAAGCCAGCTGCAGACCAAGGAGAGCGCGCGTCTGGCGGAGCTGGAGACGGCCAAGCTGCTGGAGCAGACGACGCGAGCAGCATACGACAAGCTGACGGGCGACCTGGAGGCAGCCAAGCTACAACAACTCCAAATGGAGACGCAGCTCAAGACCAGCACGGATGCCTGCGCCCAGCACGAGCTGGAGCTGGGCGATGTGAGGCGCCAGCACGCGGCTCTGCTGGCCAAATGCGAGACGCAGCAGCAGCAGGCGGAGACGGTGCAGGCGGAGCTGCAGGCGGCACGCTCAGGCGCAGCACAGCTGCAGGAGACGCTAAAGCAGCTGAACGAAGAGCTCCAAGCCAAGCAACAGAGCTACGCCTCGCTGGAGAGCGCGAGCAGCGGCCAGCGCATGGAGCTGGCCAGCGACAATGAGCTGCTGCAGCAAACCAATGTGCGGCTGGAGCGAGAGCTCAAGGAGCTGCAGCACAGCCTGGACAAGCTGAGAGCAGAGGCGGAGCAGAAGCAGACGCAGCTCGGCGAGCAGGAGCAGCTGGCCATAGAGCGCGACTTGGCGCTGGGCGATGCGGGCAGGCAGCGCGAGCAGCTGGAGGCGCGCTGCCAGGCGCTGCTGCAGCAGAACGAGACACTGCAGCAGCAGCTGTCCAATCTGCACAGCAGCTCCACAGACTCCAATGCCGAGCTGTTGAAACTGTCGCAGCAGCTGGTCGAGCACCAGCAGGCCAACGAGCAGCTGGCCACGAAGGGCAGCGAGGAGCGCGCCGCACTGGAGCGCCAATTGCAGGCGAGTCAGCAGCGTCTGGATGCGCTGTGTGGCCAGGTGGAGCTGCTGACGCAGGAGCTGGCCGCCAGCACGGAGCAGAGTGCGCAGCTCAATGGCAAACTCAAGGCGGAGCAGGAGCTGGCCGCCAAGCAGGCGCTGGATCTAAGCGACGCCCTGCGCAAGCTGGAGGCGTCTGCAGCCAGGATCGTGCAGCTGGAACAGCAGCAGGAGAAGCAGCAGCAGGAGCTGGGCAGCGTGAGAACTGAGAACGGCCAACTGAACGCCAAGCAGAATCAGCTGAACGAGCAGCTGGCCACGGCCCAAAAGGAGCTCGGCACGCAGCAGGATGCGGGCAGTGCGAGAGTCCTGAAGCTGGAACGGGAGCTGGAGGAGACGCGCCAGCAGCTGCAGGCCGGCCAGGTCAGCGAGGCAGCTGCACGGGAAAAACTGAAAGCGGCCGCGGAAGAACGTGAGGCCAAGCTGCTGGAGGAAGTGAAGCAGCTGCAGCAGCAGCTGGCCCAGGCGCAGGCGGAGCAGCAGCAGCAGAGCAGCGGGAACGAAGAGGCCATCAAGGAGCTGCTGGAACGGCTGGACATAACGAACGCGGAGCTGCAGCACAAGGAACAGCTGGCGCGCGAGGATGCACAGAAGATAGCGGACCTCAAGACCCTCGTCGAGGCCATCCAGGTGGCCAATGCGAACATCTCAGCGACCAATGCGGAGCTCTCCACGGTGCTGGAGGTGCTGCAGGCCGAGAAGAGCGAGACGGCGCACATCTTTGAGCTGTTCGAAATGGAGGCGGACATGAATGCGGAGCGGCTGATCGAGAAGCTGCAGGGCATGAAGCAGGACCTGCAGCAGACCCACAGCCAGCTCGAGTCCCAGCTGAGCAGCAACAAGGCGCTGGAGCAAAAGCTGCAGGAAATGCAGAAAAGCGAGGAGAGCTTGCAGGGCACAGCCGTTGAGGCGGCCGAGCAGCTGCGCCAGCTGCAACAGGCCAAGGGCGAGCTGCAGGATGCACTGCATCAAAGCCAGGCAAAGCTGGCCGAGACGCAGCAGCAGCTGCAAGCCAATCAAACCCAATTCGAGCTGCAACAGAGCAGCATCAATGAGATGCAGGAACAACTGCAGCGCGTGCAGCAGAGCGAGAAGGATTTGCAAGCAGCTGCCGCCAAAACCGAGGAGCAACTGCGTCAACTTCAGGCAATCTCGGCGGAACAACAGCAGGCGCTGCAGCAAAAGCAGCAGCTGCTGGAAAAGGGCAACGAATTCGATGCCCAGCTGGTGGAGTACCAAAAGGTCATCGACGAAATGGACGAGGCTTCCGGCGACAAGTCTGCGCGGCTAGAACAGCTCCAGAGTCGCGTCCGCGAACTGGAGATGGCCCTGCACGAGGCCAAGGAATCGGAGCAGCTTACGCACATGGAATGCCAGCAGTTGACACGGAAACTGCAGTCCCTGGAGCTGGACGAGGCACGTGAGATAATGGCGATGCGCGCCCAGGCCAATGTCGCCACCGCCAGCAGCCCAATTGTCGGCGCTAATGCGGATGTGAGTATTGATTGGAAAGCAATTCCGGAGAAAGTCGTACTTATTGATTCTTTATTTCTGCAGCTGGATACGGAAACTAGCCTGGCAAAGATTAACTTCCTCAACTCGATCATTGCGGATATGCAACAGAAAAACGATGCTCTCAAGGCCAAAGTTCAGACGCTGGAAACGCTGCCCATGGATTTCACCAAGTAACTAATATGGGAGCTATATAAATTTTGTAGGCAAATTACTTAAAGTCGGCACGCCGAAGATTTAATACCCTTGCAGACCCAACCTTTCCATAATGCTCATTGTGGTTTGCCCGTATCTAAGAACCACATGGAGAATAGTTAATGCCGGGTATGGTTGAGATATCTCGAAAAACAACAAAGTTTTCCATACAACAACTTAATTTTCGAACGATTGTTCTTACGGCAGCTATATGATATAGTGGTCCGATGTAAATAAGATTTTACATAAATGAAGGGAACATAGTGCAACTTATAAAAAACGAGTTTGGCCAAGCTATCTTTAAAAACAAAAAAGTTTTCCATAAAACAACTTAATTTTCGACCAATCGTTCGTATGGCAGCTATATGATATAGTGGTCCGATGTTGTTAAGATTTTGAATATATATGAGGAGCATAGTAAAACTAATAAATGCCGAGTTTGGTCAAGGTATCTTAATAAACAAAAAAGTTTTTCAAACAAAAACCTACTTTTCGACCGATCGTTCCTATGGCAGCTAAATGATATAGTGCTCCGATGTTGCTAGGATTTTGTATACATATGAGGAGCATAGAAAAACTAATAATTGCCGAGTTTGGTCAAGGTATCTTAATATACAAAAAAGTTTTTCAAACAAGAACCTACTTTTCGACCGATTGTTTATATGACAGCCATATGATATTGTGGTCCGATGTTGTTAGGATTTTGAATATATATGAGGAGCATAATAAAACTAATAAATGCCGAGTTTGGTCAAGGTATCTTAATAAACAAAAAAGTTTTTCAAACAAGAACCTACTTTTCGACCGATCGTTCATATGACAGCTATATGATATAATGGTCCAGCTGGTACCGACATATGTACTTCGTGCAACAGTAAGAGGCAGTTTCATAAAGATAGCTGTAAAACTAAGAGACTAATTCTCTCTTTCAAAACCCCTATTTTAACTCAAAAGACAACTCCTGTCAAAATGTCAGCCTTCTATTCCTTATAGTTAACCATTCAGTCAATCAGCCAGGACAATCTCTTTTATATACATATTATTTATATTGTTATTTATAATCCCTTACTTGCAGGCCACATGCTTTTGATATGCTGAGCAAGCGCAAGCCGGCGCCGCGTCTCTTTTGCGATATCTGTGATGAGTTCGACAAGCACGAAACTGAGGATTGTCCATTGCAGGCAGGTGATGAACGCGACTATTCCCCGCCGCCACCCGCCGAGGCGAACAACAACGAGAAGCAGCGAAAGTTGCCCACTCCACGCAAATACTGCGATTCCTGTGAAGGTAAGTAATTCGATCCTTTGATTAGTAGATGCCAATTGCATGCATTCATTCCATTTTCGATTCCATTTCAGTTTTTGGACACGATACGAGCGAGTGCGCCGACGATGAGACCTATTAGAGCTTAGATAATTTTGTTGGTTGTTTACACACATACATATTTTGTACGACAGTTGTTCTTGTAATCGTAAAGCTAATCAATTGTTTGGAACATATTTTACCTCGGCAGTGCTACGAACTTTTCTAATAGGGTTTTGCACCCAGATTTTCGAGAGGGATTATGTTTTGCACTAACATTCTCCATTTAGATTTTGTGTTAACGCGTGATTTGATTTTTTAAAGTGTTTTTTTTAGTTTATTTACACAAATAGTGAAAATCTTTCTGTTTCGTAAATTTTTTGTAAAAATAAAGAGTAACTACAATTAGTCGCCGCCCTCCTTCTTCTCCTTGATGGCATCCTGCAAAGAAACATCAATTTATCTGCTGACCCTTCAAAAATAAACCCTAAAGTCAGCCTACTTTAAACCGCTCCTCGAAGAGCGACAATTCAGCGAGCAGATCCGTGATGGCGTTCATGAACGCCTCCTGTGGCGAATAATCCGCCGTGGTCTGTATCCGGATGACGAACTTGTGCTCCAGCGGATGCGGCACTTTGTAGCCGGCGAACAGCACATTGGGATCCTTGAGCAGCTGACTGTGGCAAAAAAATAAATAACACTACTAAATTTATCACAAACCGGCTAACTTACTTGCGGATCATGTTGCCCAGTGTGTGATCTTCCTTGTTTATGGTGAATATTGCGGCATTTGTTACCTTCGTGTCCAATTCCTTGATGATTCTGTGCCGCCACAAAGCAAAACAAAGTCAAGTGCGGTCTGCAAAATGTTTCTAAGAGAGTTAACTTACTTTTTCTCGCCTTCGTAAAGCAAAAACGACTCAAAAGTGGGCGGCGCATTCATTTTGACGTTTTAATTATGAACAACGAAGAGGAACAATTACAATTGTTTATAAAAATCAGCCGCAAACAAGAAAATGGAATGCGCGTGTGTTGGAAAATATATGAAACACATTTACCAGCACTACAACTATCGATAATTCATCGCATTGCTTGCGCATAAATTTTGCCCATCTCTGTTGGTGTTGGAAAACTTTATTTCATCGTCAAGAACCACTAGTTCGTGCAAAACAAAAATATAATTTTGTGTTAATTTTGTTAAATGAAATGTGGAATACGTAGCAACAAACTATAGCCAAATTTATTATCAAAGTTTTAATTTTTCATATAAAGTACACACTAGTGCATTTTGTGCGCCGACAAAATCCGATAGAACCGCTCAAATGAACTTCAGCTGATGCACTCTCAGCTTCGGTTTTACGAACGCCGCAAAACTAGCTCGCAGTTTTTTTTTCTGCGCCAAACAATAGCGTTCTCGTTTATTGTCCGTAGAAAAGAAGTTTTACAAAATCAATTTCACTGAATAAACTAAGATTGCAATCAAGATGAGCGACGCAAATAGCCCGGCGCAAGCTGCAGACGTGGATGAGGTTAATCCATTGGAGCAATCGACCATTACAATGCTCGATGTACTCGAAGAGGAGAAGGAAATGGAGGAGGAATACGCAGCAGTGCTCGGCGGCTCCGATGAAAAGGCCTGTACATATGCCAAAGGCGCCATACAACGTCAGGCGCTCTACTCTTGCCTCACCTGCTGCCCGGAGGCGCGCAAAGATCTGACAAAGAGCGCCGGCGTCTGCCTGGCCTGTTCCTACCGCTGTCACGAGAATCACGAGCTAATCGAGCTTTACACTAAACGCAACTTCCGTTGCGATTGCCCAACTCTGCGTCTGGGCAGCGATAAGCGTTGCGCTCTGAATCCACAGCTGGAGGCAGTCCAGCCGCCAAATGCGGAGAATCTCTACAATCAGAATTTCCAGGGCTTGTACTGCAAATGCAAGCGACCCTATCCCGATCCCGAACGCACCACGGAGGAGCTAATGCTGCAGTGCGCCATCTGCGAGGACTGGTTCCATCTGCAGCACATGCAGGCGCCGAACGTCTCTGAAAAATGGCTAGATGCGTGCAGTGAAATGATCTGTGACTCCTGCATGGAACGTCACGAGTTCCTGCGCGACTACACGGGCCTGGCACTGCAGCCACAAGGTGAGCAGAAGGAGTCCAAGACCGAGGTCAATGTAGCTGACAACCAGCCGACTGCGAGCGAGCAACAGTCGCATTCCGAGGAGCCGGCTGAAAAACGCATCAAATTGTCTGCCGACGACGAATGTCGTCGACCAAAAACCCCCACGGGACATACAGGTGAGTGCGCATTATTGACTCTACTCTAGTTAGTACTCGAATAGTTGGTTTATGCCAGCAACTGAAAATATATATATATTGGTATTTCAATACATAAAGAGCAAATCAAAGTTCTTGCGACCATCGCCCAGATACAGGAAGCCATGCTTGCGCGAGTTGAGCTTGTGGAAGAAGGTCATGCCCAGCCAGACGCACGACTTGATGATGGCGATGCGCTCATTGCGCTGCATGTTCAACGAAAAGGCCTGGCCGAGCGGTATAACGCCATCGATGGTGTCCAAAAAGTCAATGGCATAGTTGTAATCGCTGCGCTTTGACAGATTTGTCTTCAAATCGTTGCGCGGCAGTCGATACAGCTGGTAGTAGGATAGATTGTCGATTTGCAAATCGTTTAGGCCGCGGAACATTTGATTCGGTATAACGCGACCATCGACCATCTTGTAGAGTGCGCCGCGTGGACAAATTGCGCTCTCCTCGCTTATGATAAACACTATGGCAGCCAGACGTTCCTCTTCCTTGAGCTTGATCACCTCCGGGCGACTGATGCTGACCACCTGATTGGCCACAATATTAAATGTCGGATCCTAAAACCAATTTAGTCCAATTTAGTACTCAAGCCGAAGATTAAAGTTTGCTAGACAACGTACCAGATTGACATAGGTCTGTAGACTGGGATCGCCGACAAAGGGATCGGGTGCTAGGATCGTGGCCTGAAAGATTTTCGGGCTCTGCACAAAGGGCAATAGCTGCCATTGATACTGGTCCAAGCTGTAGAAGTACTTGCGATCCTTTAAGCAATCGTTCGTGTAGCCAAAGGCAATATAGTAATCATTCTTGGTGGCCGTAATGCGTCCCCAAAAATACATGCCCGAGAAACGATTCTCCTGGAGCAGCACAATCAGCGAATTCTCAATGAGTATACGCTGCTCCGGCGACAACTTGCGGCCGCAATACATAAGGCATTCCAGCCCTTCCGAAAAGTACTCAACGTTCATGTTAGCTGCTCAATTTAAACCGTACTTACGATATTCTAGTTTTAAATACGAATGTTTATGGATTTGTGTGGCCCCGTCGACTAAGCTAGGACTTAATCAGGAATCCAACACATATATATATAAACCTGAACTAAAGTGATTTCTCTAAACAGGCACCGCCTTCTGGGCCAATGACTGGCGCAAATCTCTGTGTAAGTGCGACAAGTGCTTGGAGATGTACAAAGAGCAGTCTGTGGAGTTTCTGTTGGATGACGAGGACCCAGTCAAGGATTACGAGGAGCGCGGCATGAAGCGCGTCCAGGAGAATTCCAGCTATGAGCAGGGCATACGCGCCCTGGCCTCCATTGATCGCACCAAGCAAATCGACGTGATCACCGAATACAATCGCATGGGCGATAAGCTAAAGGAGTTCCTGCAATCGTTTGCCGCCAACAAAACAGTTGTCACCGAGGACGACATCAAACGTTTCTTTGCCGGCATGCGCAGCGAGAACCATACGAATCTCGGCCAGCCCTATTTCTGTCGTTAAACACACACATATTTACCTATTGAGTATTCCTAGTAGTTATATACATATAAACATTCCCCAAAGTATGGAATTTATTGTAAAATCTTAAATTTATGGTCTTCATATATTTAACAGCAACAATTATTCGGAGCATACGAAATGAGATTCGAGTAATAAGCTATGCACGTGGCAACTATATCTAAATAGCCAAATATCTATGTACAACTGGCTCTACGAATATACATATACATACACACATATATATATATATATATACTATACATATGTATTATCATTTCTATTTGGATTGTTCGCCTGACTCGCCATCTCCAGATTGCTGAGCGTCGCCTGCAAGTCCCTGATTATATCATTTGGATCGATGTGCTCTATGGCTGTATAATCCATTAATGTGCTGCTCAGTATTAAATCGCTAAAGGACTGATTCTCCTCCAGCTGAGGTTGTGGCGCAGGCGGCGGAGGATGCACCAGGAGCTGAGGCGAAGCCTGAACTTTGACATCCTGCTGAAAGGGCAGGCAATTCGTTTCATATGCTGGACTCGTGGCACTAAACACATTTTGGTTGTTGTTGTAACCATTGTTGTTGTTGTTGTTGTTGAAGCTGGTAGGCGTTATGCTGCCTCCGTTGAACATGGTTGTTGTGTTCCAATTGCTGGATCCGTTGTTGACGCTTATCGTGATGTTCAAGTTCTCCTGCTGCGTCTGCTGATTGAGTAGCTGCAGCAGCTGCTCCTGCTGCTGGCCCGGACTGGGCATCTTGTGCAATTGTTGCTGCAGCGCCGTCACCGGCGCAATGCTGTCCGCTGTGCTGCAGCTGGATGTGGGCGAGGCAGGAAAGTTGTAAGTGTTGTACGAACTGGCCGCCGAGGGGCAATTCCGTGTGCTGTCCATTTCATAGAGCAGCTGCTCGGCCTTGATCTCTTGCGGCACATAGCTGCCGGTGGGACTAGGAGTATGTCCATTGTAGCTGCTTATGGGCGTCATGAGCAGCGACTGTCCTTGTGCCACGCCCAGTGGCTGGGTTGCTGCAAAGTATCGGAAAAGTTCATTAGCAAAACTGTCAAAAACAAGACAAAACTTTCGCTTACAGTCGAGTTAATGAGCGCTACAGAAACTAAGCATTTAAATGTGAACAGCCATAACAACAACATCAATGCGAAAATATAAGGACAACTAAGCAACTTGTGGCAAAACTTAAAAGGTCACACAACTGCAACAACAACAAAAAGAACAACAACAATGATATTTTCATTCATTTGACAACTTACGTGACCAAAGACTTGATTCATACGAGCCTGTTGCGATTCTTTGGCTAGCTAAACTTGAAGCTAAACTGAACGGGAGACAATATAATATCACATCTTCGGTTATCCGAAGTCTTTAAGCAATTCTAAATGGCTGAAGGTATATAGATATATTGTCAAATTTTGTCAGGACTCGATTCGTATCATGTTGAAAACTAACCAAGTTTTTTATCATGTCAGAGAATTACCCTACCAGCGTATATACCCCGGCCGTGCCCGTAGTACGTATAAAATAAATAAACAAAGAAGCAAACCTCGTGAAAATCGAATGAGATTTGCCGAGTTAAGGGGGTGGGAAATTTTGACACATGTCTATATGGGATATTTCACTTGAATATTGACCAAGTATAATGTTGCTAGATTAAGCTGCCAAATTGATCTAGAGGCAAAACCATGAACCAAGAGCCAAACCTTTTGAAAATCGGTTAGGTTTTGACCGCGCTATGGGGGTGGGAAATTTCGCCCTATGTCTATATATAATAGGATATTTGAGGGTTCCATATTCACTTCAATTTTGACCAAAAATAATGATGCCAGATTTAGATGCCGAATTGTTCTAGAGGCCAAACCATGAACAAAGACCCAAGCCTCGTGAAAATAGGATAACATTTGACCAAGTTATGCGAGTGCGTATATATATAAGTATGATATATGTGTGTGTGTGTCATTATGTGTTTATGTATGTATTTGGCCGTGTGTGTGTTAGTGTATGCATGCAGTTATAAATATATCTAATACCAATTGCAGACCAAGCTTATTTGTCGCTGTGCTGCAAATTTAAATAAAACGAATTTCTACCAAGTGCTCTCCTCCTCGATTCTCAAGAATTCAAGTAGGCTCTGCAGCTTTTGTTGCATTTTTAGTTAGTGCCTGGCAAGTGGCATGGTGATTAAGTCAGGGGTGAGTATGTTTGTAGGTATGTATGCATGTATGTATGTATGTACGTATGTATGTATGAATGTACGTAAGTTTATATGTACGTATGAATGTACACATGTATGTATGTACGTATGTATGTTTGTATGCATGTAAATATGTATGTATGTATGTATATATGTATGTATGTATATATGTATGTATGTATGTACATATATATGTAGGTATGTACACGTGTATGTATGTGTGTACATATGTATGTACGTACACATGTATGAATTTATGTGCGTATGTATGTATGTTTGCATAAATACAAACAATCAAGCATTTCCGCTCTTACGGTTTGGTCTGTGCGTTGGTCACCAATCAGTCAGTCAGTCAGTCGGTCAGGACAAACAGTTTTATATATAGAATAAGATGAAAGGGTCTAAATTGTAGGTAATTATTTGTTATTCTTAATATTAGATAGTTCCAACTAATTTAACGGACAATTAAAAATTAAGTAAAATATTGACAATTTATGATCTTCGCTCATTTTAGAAAAGCTATGATTAACATTTACGACTGAGTTCGACAGCTCTTTGGCGATTTTAGCAAAAACTTTATTTATTTAATTCAATAACACACAGGTATTAAGGTGTTCTTCATATATATATATGTATATATATATATATATATATATATATATTATAATACGAGGCAACAACAAATTAACAGATTACCAGAATAGCCAACTGCATTCTACAAATTTCAAAAACGATTGGTCCACCAAGGGGGGCTTTGTGTCTGCTACTAAACGAGGAGACTAGCATATGAATATGTTTATGTTTATGTTTATGTTTATATAGAACTATAAGGGGACAAATTCGTGTGATTGCAAATGTGTGAGTGTGTGTGTGTGTGTGTCTGTGTGAGCATAGGAACTTTTCTTTAGCTGGAGAATGAAAGACGCCCAAATATATATGCTATGTTTTTTTAAATATGTGTTAATGGAAGTTCGTAGATTACTTGGAACCCAACACCGCATATCAATAGCTGACTTACATAACATTTTCGACTGTTTGTGATTCGGATTCTGCTGCATAATGCCAGACAGCTTTCGCTTGACACTTTCGGTGGCTTTGCGCGCATCGAGGCGGCATTTCTGGGCCAAAGCATCTACAAAGACAATTGGGAGTTGGTTATGAGATTAACTGTGCTTAAGTTCTGTGTGCATAGACTAGAGGTACACGCATATATGTCATATATATAATACTGAAAGAAAAGACGACTAGACAAAAGTTGTAATTTAACGTTTAAATTGTGTGCGACAATCCGATTCACTGCAGCCCGTTGGCCTCGGCCAGACGGCGTGCAATCTCATCGGCACTCAGAAAGTCAGCCTCCCCCCCTTCGCCGCCCACAATTTCGCGCTCCGGCTCCGGCGATTTGCTGGTGTAGAGCGCAAAATGCTCCGCCTCGGACAGATCGACGCTGGGATCGAGCACGACGCCGTAGGCGCCCTCGCACAGATTCCTAATGCTCTGGCGATCGGCAATGGCCACCAGCTCCATATTCCCATCACTGATGGGTATATCCGCCAGCTGGAGCGTGCTCAGCGTCTTGCGGTCCAGCGGACGTCCGTAGGTCAGTGTGCTGGCATTCGAGTAGCTCTCCGGGCGCAGTAAACTGTTCTCGCTGTCGCCGCCCTTTAGCGGTATGTGGATGACATCCGCATCCAAGTGGGCGGGCCGCTTGCCCGAGACGCTGCTCGAGCTGCGACCCACCGGGCGGCCGCCGCTGCGCTGAGGACTCGAGCCGGGCGGTTGCAGTGATCGTATGGAGCTGCGATTCGGATCACCCAAGGCAAACTGGGCCAGGCTTGGCTCGCGGCTGCCAGTGGGCGTGGTCGCCCGTGAACCGAGCGTCGCCTCGTCCTCGGTCCTGCTGCGACGGCGCGAAAACAGACGCGAGAAGAAGCCCTGACGTTTCTTGGGCGAAGCCGATGTCGAGCTGCTTGGCGTTGCCGTGGGCAGCCGCTTGGTGGGACTCTGATCGGGTGTGCGCATAATAATAATGGGCGAGGGCGTGGTGCGTGTGGAGCTGACGCTGCCGTTGCGCGAACGACTCAAGGACACGGAATTGGATACGCTATGTTCGCTGACGCTCAGATCCTGCGAGTTGCGCGGCTTGGGCGGCAGCGGAGGCAGTCGGTGTTCCGGATCTGGCGACGGGGTGCGCGGTGGCAGCGGCAAAGGCGGCGACGGCGGCGTGGCTGGCGTTTGCGCAGCATTCACCCTTATCCTGGGCGCCGGTGGATTGGTCAGCACCACGAGCTCAGCCTCGTCCAGCTGGCTAAACGGATTGGAGGCATGATAGATCTGGCTCTGGGGCATCTCGACGGGATGGTTGTATGCAATCTGCAGACTCGTATATGTCGCCGTCTCATCGAAGTTCTCGTCAATGTCCACCGAGGCCTGGGCGCTGGCACTTACCGGCTCCGGCGGCATCTCCTCGCCCACGGGCAGCTCTTTGAGCGCAGCATTTTCCAGCGTGTCGCGGCGCGAGGCGCTACCGTCGCCCAGGAGCAGTAGCTTGTCCTCGTCGTCGATCAGTTGGTTCGTTATGGTCGTGTTGGCGGTCAGGCTGCTCACATTGGTGAACGCCGTCTGGGCAGTGCTGTGGGAGAGCGTGGGCGTGTCCCCGTTCTCGACGGTGAGGCTATCGGTGCGCTCAAACTCGCTGCTGCGCATCCACTCGTTAATCTTGTCCACGTTGCTCAACGGGCGCGACTGCAGCTGCGGCTGCTGCAAGATTTCCTCCATGGGCGTGGATGTCTGGGTGCAGTCGTCGGCCAGCTGGGGCAGCAGCTGTGGCACCTCCAGCTCAATCTCCATGTCCGGCTCCTGGTCATTGTCATTGTCGAGGCCATCGGTATATTCCGTAACTGTGGCATCCGCCTCATTCGCCTCCGATTCGACGCGTTGCCGCAGCTGCATCTTCTTGACCGCAATCTCGAAATCGTTGAGCGTGCCCGAGCTCTGCTGTTCGTCCGACGAGACCGTGTTCTCGTCCTCGTTGAGATCCACCGGCGGGCACGAATATTTCGTGGCCGTGGTCTCGCTATCTAGAGAAAGTATCTGCTGGAAGACGTCCAGCTCCTGTTTGCGCTTCAGCTTGCGCTGTAGACGCGCAAAGGTTAGCATACCTGGATTGGGATAGTACTCGAAGGGCAGCGCGGCGCTCGTCGCCCGATCCGAGGGACGCTCCAGTTGTAGCTCCACCTGGAAAACGAACAAAATAAATACCAAGTCAAAGGATCTACGCCTGAGCAAACCCACCTGCACGCTGTGTTGTATCTCGGTATTGCGATAACGTGGCGTCTTGAAGACTATGGCCGTCTGCTTGTAGATGTCCGTTGGCTGGAAATCGGCGTAGGCTTCCCAGATTTCGATGCCCGCCTCGTTGGTCTCGAAGAAGCGTATCCTTATGTCATCCTTGGAGATCTTCTCGCACAGCATTATGATCTGATCGCCGCCACTTAACTTGGAGGAGCAGCTGCACAACCGATTGATGGTCAGCTCATTGCTCTTGCCATAGATCGGCGAGGAGACGACCGGATCGAGGGGCACATTGTTGTTGCCCACCTTGATGAAGGCCTGATAGCACAGACGCAGCTCGTACAGATTGATGCTGCTTATGTTGTCTTTGTGATCGAATTTGGCTGGAAAGGGAATCGTCAAATGAGCTGCCTTTAAAAGCTTCCCCTTTGATTGTGCTGCACTCACCATGATACGGATCAATGTTCTTCTGCTCGCGTGCCAGCAGCGACTCGCGCACATCCGTCTTCTTGACGCACTGGATGCCCACTTTCTGCAGCTCCAGGCGACGCTCCTCTGGCGGCAGTCGCTTGCTGTAGACGCCGCTCTTGCAGTTGTCCACCTCCTCCTTGCTGACCAGCCAGTGCGGGTGCTGGCGATAGGGCTTGTCCCGGGTGACGCACGAGACAACGACGACAACGGGTCCGCTGTAGTCGACAATCTCGATGGTGGGAAAGGTTTTCGCCTCCGGCGTTGAGTTCATGCCGGCAATCGACCCAGCCGTGCGCCCCTCGCACTTATAGCGAAACCGAATGATTTTGTTGGTGGGCTCCTCGACAATGCGAATATAGGGGCGCCGTTGAGCAGCCGGCGCCGCCGCCGGCACGGACAGCGCTATGTGGGACGGCATCACGGGCAGCGAGGCGGACTGTGGGAAGGTCTGCGGCATGGGCGGCGCGTTCTGTTCACAGCCGGCATTAAGTATTTCCTCTATACGGAGGGGGAAGCAAAGGGTGCAAGTTAAAAGAGTTGTCATTAGAAAAAAATCAATATGGCAAATTGTTGCAGCAATTTTCCGGAATGCCAGAAACAATTTAGCAAAATGCCCGAGTACATGTCTGCGGCATGTATCTATAAGATACGTGTCAGCTATATATTTATGAATTATGCATTAAAGTGCGGTGTGCCATCTATCAGAGCTATTGTTATGCTCCTCCAAGAGCCCCGGCCAGATGTTAACGTCTGACGTCAAATGTGGCACAACAAAAACGGGGCACGACTCTTTTATGCCACATATTATTATTCTTTTGCTTTCTTGCTTGTTTCCACCACCAACAATAACAACAACTAGAGCTACAATTATGTACAAGTACAACTAAAATTGGCTTTTGGCTGGGATTTAATGTGGCCACTCAAAATTCTCGACGCAAAACTGGCAACAACCAATTGAAAGGCTAATGAAGCCTTCTGCCGATTGAGTTATTGTGGCAAATTATTCATAAGCAGCAGCCCGCACTTATGTTAAAGCCGCATGTTTATACTTATTCAGGCCATAATCGTAGCTGTAGTTGGTTATAATTAGCTCTTAGCCACGTTTATACATACGCAAATCGCCAAAGAGTTCGTCCTCAGCCATTTGATGTTGATTGCCTGCAAATGAAAATAATGATGGATTATCATAAACTGTGTATCTGTCTATGACTAGCATAGTATACTCGAAAACAAGCACTTGATTGGGCTTCAGGATTGATTACATTCACATCTGCTTACTTTTCTCTTGAATACATTTATTTAATAATACTTAGGCTTAGATAGGCAAAAGCTTAAACGGTTTTCTATGCCTTCTATATTTATGACTATATTTACATATTTCTATAAATATATATTTCGGGAAAAAGTTTTGTGAGTTCGACTTTTCTATGATTGATTGCTTTTCAAAGTGAAGTAAAACCAACCAAAGCCCAAATAATTATTTCTTATTAGAAATCAATAAAAAGTTTTCGCTGCTTTTTCCCCTCAGCTGAATATTTACATTGCAAACAACTTTTAGAATAACTCGAAATTTATTTAAATTAAGCACGTTTGTAGGTGTGTTAGACTATTGAGATTTGGAAGCATATATTTAAAATTATCTGTAAACAAATTCGCAAATATGCCCCTGAGGCTCACCCATCAAATTGGTGTATTTATTATATGATGCGCATCAATCTATTTGATATTTGAAGAACTATGTTCATTTAAATCAAACGCAGACCTAATTTATTTAACTTTTTTGTATGAACATACAGTCACACCCATAAGTATTTGCACAGCAAGCATTTGCTACATTGCGTCCGTTTAAAGTAACAAACATTCGATTCGAAATAATTTTCCTGTATAAACAAGTTAATTTTTTGCATAAATCAGTTAAAGTTTTGTAACAAAGACATAATAGTAATTTTTTTAAAATTAATTATATAAAAAATGGCAAAAAAGTATTGGGACACATTATTATAAAACTTAAAAAGATTATATATTTAATTTTACTAATTTTTGGTGGGAAAGCTTTTTTGTTTGGCATAGAAAAAACCAATTTTTTTTTCTCGATATTTTGCCATTCTTCCAATAAAACCGTTTAAAGCTGACTCCTGTTGGAAATGGCCCTTTTTTCTGACCCTCCTATCCAGTTCCTCCCATAAATCTACAATTGGGGTTGGATCTGGAGATTGTGGCCGATGTTGCAAGACATGTGCCGTGTTATGTGCCATATATACATACATATGTGTGTGTATAAAAGTCTGTCTACCTCCTACTTATAAATAACAATTAACTCATCGGGCATCCAGGTGTGCACTTTTGAGTAAATATATTTATATTTATGTATCAACAATAAATAAATAAATGTTAAGACAGTTGAGAAATGCACGCGGGTTAACTCCTAGCATTTGAGTAGATTTTTCAAATATTAATATTTTCTGAAAGAAGTATATTTTATAATGTTGCAAACTCATAACTCAACTGCCGTCAGTTGCAGTACAAGTTTATTAGCCATAGTCCTTGCAGCGTGTAATATAATAAATGCTAAGCATATGCAGCAAAGCGCCAGTTTCCGCTTCTGCACACGTTTTCCCGTTCATATTTATTGCATCAGTCTGTCTGTAGACACACTATGAAACCGGTTGCTTATATAGTTATCAAGGTTATTATATTGTTGTATAATAATGCATATTAAATAGCACTTGGTGTGGCTACAATGGCAAAACAGGACGCCCAATGCAGCATATGCCCCCGTCGACATTTGCATTTTCTGCATATTATTCAACTTTTCACGCAAAGGAGGAGAGGGTAGCTGAGGCTGCGGAGGAGGAGCCATTGTCGGGACAGGCAGGCTACTTGTCCATATGCCAAGCACACGCATGCCTCGAACTGAGTCACACACTCAGAGAGACAGAAAGACAGACACACGTGGGCAGGTGAGAAATTTGCATATGTTAATTTTGTTTACATTTGGAAAGATTGCAACAACAATTTGTACACGAGATTTGTTTTCAACGCTTGCAATTCACACCTAGCAGACGCAGACCCCGCTGATTGTGTCCGGCGTGTTTACGTACACAACACGTTTTACGGGTTTGCATTTCGGGCAGTCCAGCCCCAATGTGGGTCGACTGTGGGGGGGGGGGGGGTCGACTGGGTGGGTCGAGTGACATCAGGAAGTTCTTATTCAGTGATTCGTCGGGTCGTACTTTGTCCTTTGTTCGGTCGCTGTCAATAACACTGAGCAGCAGGATGGAGGCAAAGAGTTTTTGCGTTTTATTTTGCGCTCGTAATCAGCTACCTGACCTAACTATATATACTATATATATAATCAGCATTGACGTAGGAGCGCAGCTTGAGCAGGATTTAGATTTCATGCGTGAGTTACGCCCAAGGTAGGATAGCACAGGTAACTACGACTGTTGTTGAATCGATACGCGACAGCGTAACAATAATATATTTATATAATCTATAACTTTCTGAGAATGTCACCGCAGCGTCGACTGGCATAGACTCTCTCTTAATGCCACATTGAATAACAGCTCAACATTTTAAATTCCAATTAAAAATTTGCGCTTTACTTTGTCTGTTAGTCAGTGTACATTTTTTATTTAATTAAACGCCCAACACGGAGGGCGCAATTGCTGGGCTCATCCAGGCAGACAGAGACAGCGGCTCCTACTGCCAGCCCCCTTTCCCCGCATCCTGCCGCCTATTCCCGGAGCATTGACTGAGCTGCTAATACTTTAAGACAGCCCGCGTGGCACTTGGTGAGTGAAGCAAAATTTAATTCGCATTTAGGCAAAGCTTTTTTCGGTTTTGCATACCCCGTAACTGCAAGCTGCTCGTGAAGGAGCATATGGAATAATTTGAATTTTTAAATTAGTTTGAATTTTTACATTATTATTCATCAAATTTAATTACATTTAAATGTGTATGTGCACGCGTGCAGGATATTTATAAAATTATAGGGTATACCCTGTTCGAGCAGACTTGACTAGTGTCTTTGGCAAATTTAATTAGCATTTAGGCAAAGCTTTTTTCAGTTTTGCATACCCTGTAACTAAAAGCTGCTCGTAAAGGTGCAAATTGAATATATTTTTAATGAATTCTATATTTTTATCAATATTAATTTAAATTGAATGATAAACACACGTTTAAATTTGATAAATTGTGCATTTGCGCGCATGCAAGACATTTCGAAAATTATTGGGTATATCCAATTCGAGCAGTCTTGACTAGAGCCTTCTCTTGGCAAATTAAATTCGCATTTAGGCAAAGCTTTTTTCGGTTTTTATACCCTGTAACTACAAGGTGCTCGTTAATGGGCATATCCCAGCCGAGTAAATTAATTTCAGTTTTTTAATTTTCATTTGATATATTACGCATGTGTACGCATGCAGGATTTTTTCGATGATTCCAGGGTATACGCTGTTCGAGCAATCTTGACTAGGGTCTTCTCACTTGCTTTGCCTTTGGTTTTTCCTATCGTTGGGGGCCGGCGACATAAATCAGCGCTACAAATTGATGCGTAAATAAATGCAAAAGTGAAGGCAGCAACAAAAAGGATGTCGCCCCGAAAAGAAAGAAAAAACGACAACAACAACAACAAAATAGAAATGCTGAATAAAATGGTAATTAAATATGATCAAAAATAGAATGAAATAAACGCCAGACGCATTTGTCATGGCAAAAGTGGAGATATAGAAGGCGGCTGCCATTTACCGCAGAGTTTTGAATTACAAGCCCCAAAATGGCATTTGGTCTATTTGGCACCCTTGCTCCAGCCGTTGCCATATGTGGCGCCCTCTGTGGGGCAGTAGGCTATGGCCACATGCATACATATATAAAGGTATATGTGTATGTATGTGTACATATATGTACGCAGACTAGAGTAGCTGCGGCTGTAGCTTGTCATGTGTTCAATCGATTGGAAAATCGCGTTCTGAAGCGAAAATAAACTCAGCTAAATAGAGAAAATGAAAGCATTGGACCCGAGCCATGCCATGCTGGCAATACTGCGATGGACCTGGGCCAGAGCAGCGCCCCGAAAATTACCAAATCCACACGCTCCACTCCACTCCACTCCAAGCCACCAAATGATGGCCTAATCACACCCAGGCACACACAGGCACACACACAGGCACACACAGGCACACCGGTTGCGCTTTATAAGCTCTACATCAAACACAGAGACACGATGACGAGGACGAGCACGAACTTGTGGAGTAGAACATGGAGGACATGGAGGACATTGCCATTCCCATTCGCACCTCAAGTACTTAAACGGAAGTTTGCCATAAGCCGACATGTGTGTGCGTGCCAGCATGTGTATAAGTACGCGCGTGTGTGTGTGTGTGTGTGTAAATTTAAGACCACTTTTCGTTTGGGATATATAAATTCAAAATAAAAATCAAGCACCCAAAAATCTGTGCGGCAATACTTGGCAACAGCCTGTCACAAAATCATTTAGCTGGACTCTTTTTAAGTGCTGTCTAGCATGTTGTGTGTGTGTGAGTGTGTGTGTTTGTTTGGTATTGTGTGTGCGTGTGTGTGAAAATCAATAGATTCCGAATTTATGATATTGTTTGGCTGACTATATCGATGACACAGCTAGTTGATAGTTTCCATTGGCCTTCAGCCTGTCGCTTACAGCGCAACCATTCGAAGTTCAAATTGTTTTCAATTTATCAAAACTTTTCAATTTTGACTGCATTCGACTTACTATTGATATTAGTTCAAGGGATTGGCTAAAGCTACGTAAAAAAAAAAAAAAAATTCTTTTAATCAATAAACTAATTTGTCAACATATTTTTCAGGTTCTGAAAACGTAAATATTTTGTTTGTTGATTTCAATTTAATTTGATTTCATGTTTAGACATTTTAATTGACACGAGCAGCTCAAACCTAACGAAATGTTATTAAAAAATAAATAATATGATTATGATTGTAAAAAGAAACAAACGGCATTTGCAGTCAGCTACACAGGCTGATATGCCTGGACAGCTTTTGATTATGCTGTGGGAAAGTCCAAGTTATTGTCAAAGAATGTACACAAGTACGTTTTTCTGTTCCTATCAGTTCGCCTATTCAGATAAGGCTGGGTGAGAGGTGGACATGAGCCAGTTGGGTAAATGCTACAGATTTTGGAATAGCCCAATTGGAACGTGCCTATTTATGAGTCAGTTTAGCAAAAATAACTCTACCTGTTGCCGATATTATCGTCACTTTGTCAATGGTTTTGTGGAATTTTTTGTTAAACATATTTGAGCAGTTTTTCCGTGCGCAAAACTAATTAAATAGCAATTAATTCAATTACCAGCATGTATGTAGAGTGCAATTTCCAACATGGCCCCAACGTCTAATTACAAAGGCCAAAAAGTGCCAAGTGCCAACATCTAAAATCTACATCAAATACAATTAACACGAAATCGATTTTCATTTCTTTGCCGGGCAATCAAACGAAAATGTGTTCAAGTTCTCAAACGCCCCAAAAAGAAAAACCAGAAACCAAAAGCATTTTCCAATGTGCCAGAAACCAGACAGCCAAACAAATTTGTATCGCTAGAAAAAAATCATTCTAATCGCCAAAAAAAAAGAAAATTCTCACGCGATGCCCACAAGCCGCAGCATTTGATTATTTTGCGATAAAACTTTTCACAATTCAATCAATTCAACTTTGCTAGCTCTCTGTCACTCTCACTCTCTCTCTCTCTCTCTGTCTCTGTCTCTGTCTCTCAATGCTTCGAGCTCATTTCGGCATGCGTGACTTCGTCCGGCCAGTCGATCGATTGATAAGCTCTTGGTTACAGATACAATTTAAGAACCGTTTTAAAAGTATCTCAAACTTAAATTAAAAGCTGGGTCACCTCAGAGCTGAACTCATGAAGGGCAATGCACAGTCGCATATACCCAAAAAGTTGTTCTCTTTCTGGTTATAACTGCTTTTATCTAACAATGTTTATTTTCCTTATAGCTGCTGTTCTTTTGCTCATAGTTTAATTACCAAAAAATAAACTTTGTCTATTATTTTTGTTAAATTTAAACCCCAGAGCTGAGCTGAAGGGCAATGCACAGTCGCATATACCCAAAAAGTTGTTCTCTGGTTCTAACTGCTTTTATCTAAAAAAAACAATGTTTATTTTTCTTATAGCTGCTGTTCTTTTGCTCATAGTTTAATTACCAAAAGATAAACTTTGTCTATTATTTTAGTTAAATTGAAATCTTCAAATACATTTATGAGTATACGCCTCGATCTGATTGTATACACATATATCTTTATATGCATATGTACGCAAGATTGCGTGCAAAAGGTGCGAGATTCATGTGTGTTTGTTTGTTTGTTTGTTTGCTTTCGTCAATTGCTGAAAACGGTTCCGAATCGTATGCAAAGTTCCCGAACGGGTGGATCTGGTATAGGGGTAGGGGTAGGGGCAGGGTATCTGGGGGGCTGGCAGATAAATCGATATTCGAGTAGCTTTTGGCCATGACTGTCCATTGGCAGCGCCATTATGGAACTATTTCCGTCTATAAATACACGAGCATTAGCCATGGCCAAAGCCTTAAAGACCTTATTGAATTTGCTCCCAAGTTGCGAGTCCCAGAAGGCCCCAAACCAAAAATAAAAAAACCCCGTCCAGTGCGTGTATATTACGTGAATCGCTTTGATTGCAAATGAAATAAACGAAATGTTCCAGATGCCAGCGCACAATTTTTATAAACTTTTTTCACTTGTAAAAATATTTACAAACTGCTTATCTAAATATTTGCGTATTGCCCATGGGCCAACCTTGGGAATGTTTGTCGAATCGCTTCGTATCGATCAATTGCGGATATAGCCAAATTTTGAACAGCTTAAATGCAGCTAGTACAATGTTCCTCAACTTACCGTTGCCAGTCGCATGTGCCATGTTTATATATATTATCTTAAGACTGCAATCCGGATTGGCCTGAACTTTGACACACGCGTTTTCCGCTCCGTTTAGAAAAATCTCTTATGGTATATTTTTAGAAATTATGATTGGTTTGTTGTGAGTTGTTAGCTGCTAATCGGAGAGAGGCTGCAATATGTAAATATTATTTTTTATTGAGTTAAGAGCAGCAATCCACAAATCTTGGGCACCCCCTAGGGGCTGCACTAATCACTCAGAGAATCTATAAAACCAATATATGGGTCTACGTAACAACATATGAAAATTGTTCAAAGTTTCTGCTACCTATTATAATAGTAATACCATAATAACAAATACGATGCCAATTGCCAATAGAGAAAAAACCAAACTAAACAAAACCCCACCCAAACTCATTACATTTACAATAAAAACTGTGATAAATACAATAATTGGCAGTTCAGTTCATGAGTGCGGGATATGAATAAATTACACTCATGCTATGTTATAAAATAGTCGATTCTCTTTGAATAAACTTTATAGCATGTGTGGGTCGATTCTCTTTGTGAAAACTTTATAGCATGTGTGGATTCTACAAATTCTTTATATCAAAATCGGCTGAGCCATGGGAAGATCAAAGCACCGTAAAGACGGAAGATACCTCTGAGCCTGGAGCTTAAAATGATCTTCGCTGACAACTAATATATTCTCCCTCTGAAATCTAAAACACTTGAATTTAATTAATAATCAAAATTGAGGTGGAATTCACACAGTCAACATCTTATCAAATGAATACAAACTGTTGCTCAAGCTATTGATAACGAATGCTGATAGTTAATATTCTCTAATAAATTGAAGCCGACAAGCAAGGTTATCAGCGAGTTCTCAGTTATCGAGTAACCTTATCAGAAATACATATATACTATAAAATGCAACGGAACAGTATGGAAATGCATTCTCTTCAATGCTGAAATTTGAAAAGTTGTCGCAATAAATTTTAAGTATTGGTTCGAAAGACAGCTTTTGATTGAATTTGAATAAAACTGTTCCTAGAACTGCATTGCAATGAAAGCTATTTAGTTGATTTATCAGTTTTGCTGTTTGCAATCTTTAGATTAGCAATTGCAACTAAAGTTGAAATGTGGAGGCTGCTCAATGCACACATATACATGTGTGTGTGTGTGTGTGTGTGTGTGTGTGTGTAATAGAGCTATGGCTAGGTTTGTTGTAGAGCGTGTGGCATAAACTGCGCGTTAGATTTGTTTATTGAATTTATTGCTGCTAACCTTAATAGCTGGTTTATTGTTGTTGTTGTTTTCTGTTTGGGTATTTGTTTAAAACTTGATTAAAACGTGCGGCGGCGAGACAATGTTATAATATTTGTTGTTATTATTTGTTTTGCGTTGTGATTGAATTTTGATTTTCCATATGAGTGCACTTTTCTCCAGCCACGTATATTATATAATTATACATTTATGGCAAGAATTTAAACAGAAACCACTTTTGCTTATCGCCTGGCCTGACTCACGCCAAAAGGCCAAAAACAACGCGCCAAATTATCTTGTTTTGTTTTTTTTTTTGATGTGAAATGTGAATAACGAACACAAAGCGAATAAATAGATAGATCGAAGCGGTTTATAAGAGGCTCAAGCTACTGCTGTTTTATTGCACTGCATTTATACATAAAACTTTGTTAATTGAGATGTGTGTGTGTGTGTGTGTGTGTAGATATGAGCAGCCTGTTGTTTTGTACAAGTTGTCTGTCCGGCTGTCATGTCGCGTATAATTATCAAATCTAAGCACTCGTACAGTCGCGAGTGACTTCCACAATAGGCGGCGACTTAAACGGTCTCTATTAAAAAATTGTAGTTCAACTGTAAATCACAACCCTCGCCGACGAAGTTCACTCTCAAACTGAGCGTTGAGTTTTGTCAGCGCTTAACAGATCGACTCGCACTCACGCTCACACTCGCACTCCCAATCGCGCCAGTGTTGCCAATACAGCTATTTTTTAAAGCTAAATTTGCTTGCACAGGAAATGTAGCCAGTTTTGGCAGCTCAACGACAAGTATGGCCAATTCAGCTATTTTAGCTATTTTTTTTACTTTGGAGCTAGCTACTTTTTGTGAAGCGTAAGTTGGCAACACTGACTCGCACTCTCGCTCGGCTTGAACTGTTGACACGATGTGTGCGCTCGGCTTCGGCTAATGGCTTCGGCTAGCCGGCGGGTGGCGAGCGTCAGCGTCTGCCTCTCGTCTACTTGACGTATTCTCGATATCGTATACGTGATGACGGCGCCGTCGACGCCACGATCGGCCGGCGGCCATTGAATTCCCACTCGCCGCCTGCTGCACACTTTTGTTTTCATCTTGTTGCCGCACTCGCACTCGCACTCGCATTGTTTGCTCACATTTTGGGCTCTCTTTTTGTTTACTTTATATTGGCGGCGTGTGTTCTCCTTCTTGTTTTTTACTACTAATTAATGACGTTACAAGCGCAATATTGAAATATTGTTGAAGATTTATAAGTGGCTGAGGGTGGGTGTTGAGATCTTTATAATACGCTGCAGGTGTTTCAGGTGCTACAATTTGTTTAGACTGATGTGTAGTGATATCTCTTGGCAAGCACCTAGCAACTGCGGATAATACTTTGAAAATTAAGTTCATTTTTCGAAAATCGTATATAAAAATAGATAGTTGATGTAGGAAAATAAATAAATCTTTCCCCAAACAAGTCAAGATTTGACTTATTTTAGATATTTCCCTTGCTCACCCTTGAGCAGCAATATAAATAACCAGCTCTTTAAACCATAAGCCCATAAATTCTCATATATCATATATCCTATTGACACCTCTATTATGGTCCATTTCCCCGAAAATGTTGTATTTGAAACTAACTTGTCTCTGACCCACGGCAAATGGCAAATTATGAAATCTATAAACTGACGCTAATTTAAACACAAAAATTCCATATTTATATGCATATGTATATGTATTTGCGTGTTTGCCTAAAAGCCGACACATCATCTAAGGTCATGTATGTGAACAGTTATTGACTTCATTTTGCTTGCCATTCCATCAAAGTTGATTTTCAGTCATTTTAGCAAACAGCCAAAATGCCAAAATCTGTACACAAAAAGAAAATAAAACAAAATATTTTCTAGCATCGGCAAATTTGTTGTTCGTATATTGCAAATGGTGCAGAAAATTCGTGCATACATACTTATATGTATATTTGTATGTATATAATTCGAATATTTATTTGCTGGTGTTTATGGTGCTGTAACTAAAAACATAGTTTAAACAGCATCAAGTATACGCGGCGTGGGCAACAAATGCATTTTTCTTCGCTTGCCAAGTGCATGCCTGGAAAATTGCTGGCAATTACGTAAAACAAAGGCAAGATCGTAACCAAAAATAGCCGCAAATCAATTTTGATTGCTTATGCAGCAGCAGCTCAAATGTATAAAGATGTTGAATACCACATCTGTGGATTTTTAGCTAGCTGCGATCGCTGCTTATCGAATATATGCAGCAAAGGGATTGGATTGATTGAGTTTGTGACGTCACACGACAAAACGCACCTCAAAAAAAAACAAAACAAAAATTTGGGCGCTACGTCAGAGGCAATAAAACTCGTTTGGCGACTTTTAACAAACTCCCAACTTAAACGAGAAGGAAGTCGCAGAGGAAATACCCTCAATTTATTAATTTTTTTATATTTTTTTACTAAGATTCCACAAAATTTACTTTTTATCGAAGAGATAGATCATAAATAATGAAAAGAAACAGCCAAAAAATATAAAAAATAATTAGGATTAACTATAATACATTCAAATTATAAATAATACTATAGTTAATTACTGCAAAAGAGCGCTAGCGTCCAGGCTTTCAGCTCTAATTTATTAATATACTAGATATATAAACTCTTTCAGTTCAGCTTTAAGAGAAGAAAATGTAAGCCAAAATTTGAATACATATTACGACAAATCATGTTTGATTATAAAGCCGTAAAACTCTCTGTAAGGGCATGCAGAGGCGATAAGAAACACGAACCGCAAACAACACCTCAAATTCCCCTCGAACGCATTTCTGCAATTCTGGCACATGTGCCACTCCAAGGTCACGACGCACTCGAAGAGTCGCTAACAAAGCCGCAGCTCCAAGTGGGGGAAGCGAAAGACGTGAGACGCGAGACGTCAGACGACGAAGAGGCCGAGTAAAAAGTAGTAGCAATTGAGCTGCTAGTTGGGCAACCACTTGTTGTTGTTGTTGTTGTAATTGGTTTTTGTCTCCTTTGGCTTTAAAAGCGAAGCAAAGTAAAGGCCATTGTTTATGGCCAATACACTCTCACACACTCTCACACACACACGCACACACACATGCATGCAGGCAACATAAAAGAGCCAAGCAAAAGGTCGCTGCCGACGCCCTCAAGACAAAGACTTGCTGCGTATAGCATTAAAATTCAAGACACTCGCAAAGCAGAGCCGCGACTGCGACTGCGACGGAGACTGCGACTGAGACGGAGACTGAGGCCCGAAGAGCGTATCGATAACCGAAAAAAAAGATGAGCAAATTACAAATGAAAATCAACTCAAATGTTGGCCAGCTGACGGCATAAACGAAAAGGTTGAGATTAATCGACTAGTCGATGCCCTTTCGTGGTGTAAAAATGATAATATTATGACAAAAGGTAAACAACAACTTTAATATAAATTTGTATATTTATACTAAGCCTTCTCTGGGCAAGATAGATTAGGGATTCATTAGACAAAGTAAAAATGTATACTAAGCCTCTACTGGGAAAAGGCTTCTTCTGCTCAGCTCAGATTGGGACTATATCTGCCGAAGTAGCGCTCGCCTTCAACAGGGAGTTCGGGAAAATCTTGCTCAATAAGAGAGTCCAGTCCTAGGCAAAATCGAAACCCTTCTCCCTTTTGCCAGACTCCCTTTTCATTTTAACTACCACTATTATCATTATTAGCATACTTATTTTGAATATCATTCCAAACCCATGGTAATTTCGGCATACCCAAAGCAAAATGTTGCTTTCAGACGGAAAGACATGCTCTTGACTAGGAATAATAATGCGGCTCAAATATGAATAAAGAAAAAACCAGTCGCTTTGATGGCGCTTTAGCTTGCAGCACTTGATTGGGTTCGGTTTCG